TTTTTGTTTTTGTACTCCTGCTATCACCTTATATTAATTCGCCTTGATTGTTATTTTCAACCATAGTCATGAACAAAATTAAATTAAATAAAACAAATAAACAGGTAAATAAAGCTTAAAGTATTAAACCCTACAATGCGTCCTTATTCGCCGTCAAAACAATGACGCGCCTCTATTCTCTAAAAATTAACAGAGGCACATCGCGATTATGATTATTTGGGTCATTTCAAGCATTTTTTCCCAAGAAACCATAGGTCTGAAATGAATTTCGAGCCAGCGATTTTTTCTATCTAGTTTTTTTTTAAGTGGCTCACTTGTTGAAACACCTGTATTGAAAACTAGCCAAAATGTGTATACGGGGGTTTTTGGGGTCGAGGAATCCATTTCTGGCATACATTTTTTCTTTTGAGGGCCGCCAGAGGGCACCGCCGTACTTTTTTTTTGGATTTTAACGCCTTTTTTCCAAAAATCTATGTACATTGTTGCGAAAATCCATGAAATTTTACTTTCTCATAATGCAATCTAAATTTTTAAATAGCCTAAAATGTTCAGCGTTGTAAACTTTTTTTTAATTTGTTTATTTTTATTTTTATTTATTTTTTTTTTATTTTACAAATTAAACGCATGCATGTCACACATGTCATTTGTCATACAATATGTCGTTAAACAGTATTACCAACATAATATTAAAAAAATACACTATACATATTTAAAAATTTAAACATTAGAAATTTTTTCATTTACATTTCAAATGTTTTTTATCTTTTAAATTGATTTTTTGAATAAAAAAAAATTATATTAAAATAAGAAAACATTTTGTTTGGTAAAATTCAGAGAACAAATGAAAACAAAAACTAATTTTTTGTCCTAAATTGAATAAAATCGATATAAGTTGTGCATGAATACACCGCCCTTCCCCCCTAATTTTCAACGCTGAACATTTTAGGCTATTCAAAAATTTAAATTGCATTATGAGAAAGTCAAATTTCGTGTATTTTCGCAACACTGTTGTCGATTTTCGGAAAAAAGGCGTTAAAATCCAAATAAGTACAGAAACGCCC